AATGACAAACCAGAGGGAAATCATTTGTAACGTATCCCAGGTAAAAGTTTTCTAACCCTAATATATAGATTGTCTAAAATAAAGAAGATAAAGATAACCTTTAATAATCATATAGAAAAAGATATGAATACAGTTCATGTAAAAAAAAATCAAATGACCCTTTAAAATATGAAATTGCTCAAACTTTATTATAAGACATAGCAAAAATAAAATTAAGATACCATTTCTCATCTTTCAGATTGGCAAAAATCCAAAAACTTGGCAAGGCTTTGGGGGAAAAAGTCACTCTTAATTAGTGGCAGAGAAACAACAAAATACAACCCCTTCCAAGGAGGAGGTCAGCACAGATTTGTCAGTATCTAGTAAAACTACTTAGGGTTTTAACCACTAACTAAGCAATCTCCTATCTAGGAATCTACCCCAAAGATGAAGTAGCAAAAATATAAAATAAGGTATGAATGAGCTTATTTGGTACAGCACTCTACTAATAGTGAGAACATAATAGAATATTGGTTGGATAGAATACTGATCAGCTACAAGCATACTTCAAAAATTTATAGAAAAATAGAATTGAAAGATAATATGAATCTTTCCATGAACTTTTGAAGAACTGTCATATTTCAAAAAAGGAAGTGGGGGAAAATCTGTATATGCTGCTTTGCAGTGATCTCAAGGTTATATTGTTAAGTAGAAAAAAAGCAAAGTGGAAGAAAGTGTTCATAGTATGCTACCATATATCTAAGAAAAAAGGGTGTGTATGTGTTTGCTTAGATTTTTAAAAGTAGAATAAACCAAAAACTGATAAAAACCTGTTATCTGTTGGGGTTTAGGAGAGGGGGATGGGAAGTAAAGCAAGTCTCTAAAATTCAAAAGCAAAATGTCAAAAAGTAAACCTGTATATGGAGTCGGCCTAATCATACAGAGAGGAATTATTTCAGGTGACTTTAAACCACAGTGATTTCACAGTGTATACCTAATGGAAAATGTAGAGAACAAAAAATTGCAAAGAAATCTGAAACTTTTAAATAATCATTTTGTTGACCATAATTTTAATAATCATTTTATTTTTAGACGATTGCATATTAGTGTTAGAACAAAATTTTTCAGCATAAGAGAAATAGCTGTTATAAGATCAGAGAAGCTAAGTAAAAACTATGAATCCTACATTTGAGTTAGAAATATTAATTTTCTGAAAGGGGGATGGGAAACCACCTAAAAGCAGTAACAAAGAAGCAACAGAATTATCATAGGTAACTCTAGTGCCCAGATTAATGTCTCTAAATACCATTTCCCACTAAAAGAAATCAGGGCTTCTTAGAAAAAGGGCTGACTAGAATCTGGGGCAGGGAACGTGCAAGATGGAACATCTTTTTATGCCTAAAATCAATCAAGGAAGCTGACCAAGGCCACTTACAGCCATAGCAAAAGAACTCAACCTGAAGGGCTTTCACTGGCCAAATATGGTAGACTTTGAGAATTGATCAAAATAACTGTACTGAATTAAAACACATCATAAACATTTAAAAATTTGTGATTTCTTAATGACTTTTTTAGAAACCTTTATTGGGTACCTTTAAGAAGATGCTATGGACCAATTCACCATCCTGAAAATACATACATGAAGGGAATGCATCAGACATTTATTCTGACCCTACCTGTACAAACTCTTTTTAGGGTAATCAGATACCTAATATGGGAAAATTCTCATTTATAGAACTTCAGATAATACATATGAGAAAAGAGAGTACCACCATTTTGCCACCTCTAATGAAATAATGGATTTAGACAAAATAAGAAGAAGAGCTGCTAAAAACCAGTAGGTGAAGGAAACTTAAAAGGGATACAATAGGTTTATCATGTCTGCACTCACTGATCCATTGTCACAGCCTCAAAAGGAAGACAACAGACATCTTGCTCCTTCTCATCTTACTACCAGTGAAGTAGTCTTGCCCAAAAATTTGATCAAGCCTCTGTATCTAACTTGTTTCCAGCCAATCAAGGGATAGAGAAACACGTTAAATGGTACTATGGGGATGCAATCAGCAAAATCCAGGCTATAGAAACTTCTATAGGGCAAACCTGAGAACAGTGGTTCTCAAACTTTGGCATGCATCAAAAATCACTGCGAGAGCTGGCTGGTTAGCTCAGTTGGTTAGAGCACAGCCTTGTAACACCAAGGTCAAGGGTTCGGATCCTCATACAAGCCAGCCACCAAAAAAAGAAAAAAGAAAGAAAACACCAGGAGGGCTTGTTAACACAGAGATTGCTAAATTCTATCGCTGTAATTTCTCATTCAGTAGTTTTGGATTAGGGCTTATGAATTCACATTTCTAAAAAGTTGCTTGGTGCTGTTGCTCCTGATGGTCCAGAAAGCACATTTTAAGAGCCATTTTATAAAAGAAGACTTAGATTATGAATGAAATGCAATGTATAGACTTTGTTTGGATTCTGTTTTGGACAAACCAACTGTAATATATATATATATATATATATATATAAAATTGATGTTAGGGAAATGTAAACATGGGGTTGGACATTTGATAATATTAAGGAATTGGTAAATTTTGACAGTGCAATCATGCCATTGTAATTACTATTTTTTTTTCTTTTTTGAAATGCCCCCATTTTTTAGAGATACAAGAGTATTTCAAAAAGTTCGTGGAAAAATAGAATTAAAAGATAATACGGATCTTTTCATGAACTTTTAAAGATCCCTCATACATGTTGAAATTATTTATGGGTGAAATGATGTAATGTTTGTTTGAAAATAATTGGAGGAAGAAAGTGGATGAGGATAGAGGTAAAACAAGATTGGTCATGTACTGATCATTTGGAAGTTAATGAGTGATGAATGAGTACATGAGGATTCATTATATTATTTTTCTACTTCTCTATATCTTTACAGAAATTATTTTCAAATTCAAAAAACATGTTTGGAGGGCCAGCCCGGTGGCGCACTCAGTAGACGCGGCGCTTGGGAGCGCAGTGGCGCTCCCGCCGAGGGTTTGGATCCCATATAGAGACCAGTCCACTCACTGGTTGAGCGCGGTGCAGGCGCAACACCGAGGGTTGCGATCCCGTTACTGGTCACGAAAAAAGACAAAAAGGAAAAAAAAAAAACATGTTTGGAAACAAAAATATATTCTAAGACAGCTCATGAGTTAGATAGAAATTACAAATACTTGAAATAAAACAGTCATGAATTACACTATTTCAAAAAGTACATGCAAGTAAAGCAGTGCTTAAAGGTAAATTTATTGACTTAAATTCTCCAAAAAGATTTAAACAAAGTAAGTTCAACTTAAAAGTTAGAAAAAGAAATACAGAAAGACTGGAGGGGAAAAGTAGGAACAAAACAGAAATAAGTTGATAATGCCATCATCTTACATTGAATAGCTCAGTGGATTAAGTTGAACTAAGGCATTCTGAGAGCTTGGTCTGTAGTCTTTCTTTTTTATAATATCCTTTGTTCTATATCAGTGTTATGCTGGCCTTATAGGAGAACTAGGCAAACTAAAGGGAAATCGGTAGGATTTTTTGGTATTGTCTTATGTCTTAAAAGTTAATTTTCTGCCTCAGTGAATAAATACTTAACTTACTTAGAAATGGTTCAGTGTTTTTTTCAGCACACATTTTTGCCAGATGCTATGCTAGGCACTCGGGGATATATTAATGAATAGGATACTGCCCCCACTCCTGTGGCACTCAGTCTAAGAGAAGATACAAATTTGTAAACTAAAAGTTAGAATCAGTTCAAATCCCTGTACCAACCAGCTGCCAAAAAAATAAAAAATTAGAATCAGATGGGAAATGTCAGTAGACAAAGTGGAAAAGTTCTGAGGCAATGTCCTGAGGGAAGAAGATTCTTAGTATATATGATGGACTCTAGGAAAGGCACGTGAGGTTTGTTCAAGTAGTCTCTAAGAAGAGATGTCATTTACCAACTGCCACTATGTTGCAACAGAGGACACATGAAAAATGACCACGGATTTGCTATGTGGCCGCAAGGCCAGTAAGTTACAAGAGCTGTCAGTGTATGTTATTCAGGATTTTTGTAATGAGGTTTATGAGAGATTGGTCTGTAATTTCCTTTCTCTCAGTGTCCTTGTAAGGTATCAAGATTATGCTATCCTCATAAGTGTTGGGAAGTATTTCTTCTTTGTTATGCTCTGGAAGAAGTTATGTAAGATTGGTATTATTTCTTCCTTGAATGTTTGTGAAGCCATTTGAGCCTGGTTTTTCTTTTTAGTGTGTATTAAACATTTAGTAGAAACTGTGACCCAAAATTTCAACATAAAAAGCGGAATGTGTGTCTGAAAAGGTATATCATTCTTATTAAAATTTTCACATACAACTTCCATCTGCTCACTGAGGTTAATCCACAGTTTGATCAGTGTTGTATCAGTGACAGAAATTTACTAGTATAAAAATCCAGTCTATTTCTAACCACCAAATAGTATTATAGGTTCAACTAAAAAAAAAGAGACAAGTCTCTGTCATCCAGATGCTTGTTGACTCATTTGATATGAGCATACATCAGATCATTTTAATCTGCTTGCTTTATTAGGGATATATATATATATATGGATTACATTAATGGTAGATTATTTTGATGGGTTTTGCTGCTCAGAATGCTTTGGCTCAGTTGCTTTGGGTAGTGACTTTTAAAGTAAATTTATATTTTTTTATAATAAATTATATATTCATATCATTCCAACTTTGTAAGTTATTTTAAAAAAAAGTCTCCCTCCAACTCCCAGTATCCTAGCTACAGAGTCATAGATGTTAGTTGCTTTGTTGCTGTTCTTCAATTCATATTCTCTGAATATGCAATATATATTTCTCTTTTTTTTCTTTTTTACACTTTCTATTCTGTCTTAGAGACTGTTCCATATCATTGCATATTACAGCTATCTATTGTTTCTTTTCTGTACATCTTAAGTATTTTCTCTTGTCTTCCTTAACTAGTTTTTCAGGATAGATCTTTTGTTTCATTTCAGCCATGAACCAGAGAATCAGTCAGAGTGCTCCAGTGAAACAGCCACCACCTCTGGCTCCTCAGAGCCCACAGGGAGGCGTCATGGGTGGCAGCAACTCCAACCAGCAGCAACAGATGCGGCTGCAACAACTGCAGATGGAGAAAGAGAGACTGCGACTGAAACAGCAAGAACTGCTTCGGCAGGTGAGGCCACAGGTTAGAAACCAGCCTTCCACTTTTGGGGGTTTGTTTTCCTACATAAAGTTGGGCAAATTTCATTTTAGCATGGATTAGTTACAAAGGAACATTGTCTCTGTAAAACTAGAACAACACAGAAACATTCTATCTAGCTCTGTCTTTGTCTTAGATTCTTGACTGGCCTTTGATCCAGGTGGATTGTAACTTATAAACCTGTATCATAAAGAACTGTTGGGCCATGGTCATTGCAGCTGAGCAAAAATCAAAGGAGGCAAGGACGATTCCTCAAATGTACATGGGATTGTAGATTACTGTATTTCTGGGGATTTCACTAAGGGGAAAACTTGAGACTTCACTTGGGGAGAAACATCTTTTACTTTAAAAGAATTATTTGTGTGTAGGGGGGGTACACCAATATGACATTCCTCAAATGACAGATGATGTTTTAATATTGCCAAATCTAAGAGTTTTCATTTAAAACATAATACAAATTATTCCCAGTTTAGAAGATCCTTAAAATTACCTTCTTAAGGGTATTTTTTCATGTTGGAAAGGGTAGAACCTTACAGCAGAGAACTTGGTGCCCTTTATGATCATTTTCCATCAGTTTTCTTTCAGAAGGTACTGTTGGTCTTTATGTTTTGTAAGAATAGATAATCACTCATCTCAAAATTAATTTTTACATTATCTTATTTCAGAGTGGTTAAATCTAAGTTCAGATATTGGGGATGTGATCTTATGTTAATCAGTATAATTTTTAATTTTATATAAATTTTTTTTGGATAATAAAAACATGGTACAGTAGTGAAATTACACTGGAAATAAAATCTCCTTTTCTTTCCCTAGTTCTTTACTCTGAATGTAAATATGAGTCTCTTGTTTTTGTTTTTATTTTTTTCCAGAGATATTGTGTTTACAGACATAAAATGCATACATCTGTGCTATTTTTTCCCACCTAAATGGTAGCATAGTAGGTAAGGGTAGACATTCAAAAATCATTGTACTCTACATTTGTTACCAGGATGTAGGCATTTAAAGAAACTTTTTTTTTTAAGGGCTGTATTTTAAAAGTGTTATCCGAGTATCATTGAAAATATATAAACTTGCTACTGTTTCTGAACTCTGGTTTGGAATTTGAAGAACTGGTACTTGAGGAATTAATTTAAGCTATGAAATCCCAGACAGACTTGCCTTTAAACTGTTTGTGCTCTGTCAGTAACCTGTCAGTGTAATTCTCGTGTGGTTGGCATCAAAGGTGAGCCATGATAGAGGAAGTAAGGGAGTTTGCGTCAGCATAGAATGTCAGGAAGTGGTCTTTTTTTTTTTTTTTTTTTGGCTGCTAGCCAGTTACAGGAATTGAACCCTGGACCTTGGTGTTAGCAGCACCACGCTCTAACCAACTGAGCTAACCAGCCAGCTCAGGAAGTGGTCTTGAAAGCAATGTTTCTTCATCTGCCATAAAGATGAAGAAAGAAAGCACATTAACATAGTTTATTGTACATCTGACTTTGTAACAAATTATTGTAAAGGAAGGGTATTTTTTCATTTAGATAAAACTTCATTGTCAGAACAAGGTAGCACCATCAAGAATATTACTTGGCTATTAGAAGAAATAAAGCAATTTAAAAGTGTATTTTACAAAGCATGTTTTCACTGTTTGCTTTTCATTTTGTTACTGAGTACTAGTTGGTCAAGTAAATTTAAGTCTCGATTTCACGTATTAATGAAGACTGCCAAAATCAAGAAACCTTAAGAAAAAGTTCTTGAATTGCTAAAATAAAAATCTTGCTGTTTTAAAGATAATTTTTAAAATCTTTTAGAAATGGGCCATGTGTCATTTTGTTATATGCCGTACATAGATCAGCCTGGCTTTTTTTGGTGGGCAAAATGCTGCTACTTGTAAAACTCTTCCTTCCAAAGAATTTTTCTAAACCTATTCTTATTCTTACTCTGGGTGATGGGTCCTGGACAGAATAGCTTCACTACCTTTAAAGGTAACCTCTTTGTTTCTTCTTTGCTACACACTGTGTTGTCTTTTCTTATGTTGAAGTGACAGACCTGCTTTGTTCTCAAACTAATAGTCTATTGCTTAGAATTGTTTTTGTTTTTGTTGTTTAGCAATCAGTATAAATTCAGTACATATATCTTAAGTCTTTTGGGTTCCTGTGAACTTCTTCCATTGAGGGTTTCTCTTATCAGTGAATTATCAAATATATCTTACCTGCTTCATCTAATTTAATACTTAGAAGCAAAGAACCTACCTGACCAGTATCAAATTTTATTTTAGTCCTGACACCTGCAGTCTTGCTGTCCTATCCTCAATGATGTTAAAAACTGCTGAGGTTTTAGTTTTGTTATGTGGTGACTCCATTGGCTCCTGTCTTTCTCAGTCTGCTTCTTCTTGGGTAGCGTGGGAATTCTGTGCTATGGTGATATGTCTGGATACAATTTGTAAGTCAGCCTACACAGCCAAACCATGTGGCTTAAAGTAATTTTTATTCATCTTATCTTTTACTCTTAGGCAATGTGGAATATCAATCCCAGCACAACAAATTATCCAAAATGTCAGGTAGGCTCTTATCTGATATTTTAGCAAGTTTCAGCGGCTGGAAGTCCAAAGTCCAAGGAACATATCTGGTGAAGGCTTTCTTTGGTGATGACTTCTGTGACGGCAGGGTATCACATTGCAAAAACGGTGGAGCAGAGAGTCTGGTTTTGGGTTTTATGGTTAAGTCTTTGATCCATTTTGAGTGGATTTTGGTATATGGTGAGAGGTGCAGGTCTAGTTGCATTCTTCTGCATATGGATGTCCAATTGAAAAACAAAAAAAAGATATTAAATTAGGAAAGAGAGAAACTTGTATTCTAGGGCCTGTCCTTATTGATTAGCTGAGAATATAACTCCAACCCATCTTTCTACCAGTATACTTAAGTTAACATTACTGTTCCCAGAAGGCTACATTAACTGCTCCCTCCCACTCCTCCCAGAGAGCTTCTAACATTCCTTTTGATTCCGTGGAGGTCTTTTTTATTCCACATTTAAAATGTATTATGTCTCAATTGTATATCCTGTCAACCTCAAGGTATGCCTAATTTTTATTTGAATAGCTTAAAATAGTATTTTTAATGATTTAAAGGAATTAATAAGTTGAACACTAACAAAGGTAGTACAGGTTATTTACTTGGGTATGCTAGTTTAGGAAATCTTATTTAGAGTTATAATACTATGAGGAAAAATATAAAAATTATGAGAACAGAGAAGGATTTGCCTGGATAGTGTTTCAGGTTTCTATGTTGGCTTTGTCAACATTTCTCCTTGATGAACCCCGGGAAGCACAGGTTGTGAAGGCATCTTATTTAGACAGAAAGATTGTGGCCATTTTTTCTTCTAACACAGGCATTTGTCTGACTCATGGGAAGGATCTCATTCTTGAACCAAAGAGATTCTGTGTGTTTGGGGTTCATAATAAGATCTGAAGTGATTAGGAGCTAGAGAATCATTGTACTTTTCTTGGATAGGCAGAAGCAACGATAAAACATCTCACATTCTATGTAGCTCATTCTGCACTAGGCTAAATAAGTGCATTGATTTAGAATCAGCTGTAGAAGTGGGAAATCCACTCATTTTGGATACTGCACATTGAAGCACCGTGCCAATAAAATCAGATACAGTCCTCATAGAAACCAGTTAACTTTGTGATAGATGGAAAAGTATTCTTTATCTATCTCGTGAGTGTCTCTATTTAACCAAAAGACCAAGTATGAGAATAACTCATAACAAGTCATCTTCACTAAAGTAGAGCATAGATAATTCTTCTGGGGCCGGCCCGTGGCTCACTCGGGAGAGTGTGGTGCTGATAACACCAAGGCCCCGGGTTCGGATCCCATATAGGGATGGCCGGTTCGCTCACTGGCTGAGCGTGGTGCTGACAACACCAAATCAAGGGTTAAGATCCCCTTACCGGTCATCTTTTAAAAAAAAAAAAAGATAATTCTTCTGATTCTTAATATACATTTAACTGTGAAGAGCAACATATCATTAGATCTTTATAAAGTGAAGATATTTTTTCTTTGCTTTTTCTCTGAAATGTTTCTAAGAGAAGGCTTTTTATTCATGATAAATGAAATGGAAATGAATATCAGAGCAGAAATGAACTCAAATAAGATTTGGGCTCAAGTAAAAAGTCCTCTATGCCAAAAGTGGATGTTGAAATTGTTTCTTTTCTTTTTTTTTCTTCTGAGATTTTTAAGCCTTAAATCTGGTAATAAATTAAATGCTTCTGAGTCTTTATTTCATACTTGAATAGAAGAGTAAATAATTGCTGTAATTAAAATTATCAGAAATTCTTAGATACTTTTTTTAATGGTAAAACTTTAGAAAAGGTGAGACTTATAAGTAATAAGAATTCTAAGATATTCAGATTCTAGAGTTGATTACTTAGATTTGCCTAGACCAGAGCAAGAAACCTGAGAGAGATAGGCTTTTTAATATCCACTTTGCATATGCTGGAGATTAAAATATTAATTTGTAACATGTTTTAGTTGTCAGTGTTATTTACCTGGGACAGTTGTGAAAATGTCAGTATATGTATGAAGTTCCAGTATATGGTTAAATTTGGAGTAGCTCAGATACATGGAATCTGGTGGTATTTATATTAAGCAACCATTTGTGTTTTTCTCATCCTGCGTATTTTCTAGACGACGTTAAGTTAGATGTCAGGAAAGATTTCGCAAAGAAGAGCCATATCTTAAGTGAAGATGGCTTTAAGTAGGGTTTACCAGGATAACCAAGAAAGCCAGAAGAGCTTTTTAGTTTCAAAGAATAGAATATATAAAGGCATAGCTCAATATCTGAGAGCTAGGCACTGTTGTTTGAAGATTTTTCTTTTGGTTTTCTTTTTTTTTTTACTTTTCTAATAGAAATTAGTGCAGCTGAGTTAATAATGAAATCATTGTCATTATTTTATAATTATGTACTGCATATGTTGGGGGTTCTGAAAAGGTATC